AGAGGGACCCTTTACCCCAGATTTACATTTCTCACCTGTAAAATGGTGTCACCCAGGCTGCCAAGGGGAGAGGACAGAGAGGGGGTGACACTGTACATGTGGGGTGGTGACACAGCCAATGGAGAGGGACTGAAGCCTCCCTGTCCACCTGCTCATCTCGGATGCTGCCAGAGCAAGGGCTCCGAGCCCTCCCTGGCTTTCCAAGGCTCTCAGTGTGGGGTTTGGGATTTGTGCTGCTGGGGCCCCTTGGCTGCCGTTCCTGCCAGCCCAGCCAAGATGAAGGCATGGAAGGGGGCAAGGAGTGTCCGGGTGGGAATCATCACCTGCCCATCCCCCTTTTCAGGTGGAAAAGGATCCTCTGGGATAGGGTGGGGGATGTGTTTCTTATCCAAGCCCGACCTAGTGCCCATGTCACTGCTGAGATCCAAGCCCTTTGTGTCTGGCGCGTATTTGCGGTCATTTAGAGCACAATGAGGGAGCTTTCAGTGAAATGTGACTTTCTGGCCCTGGCTGGAGTCTGCTCTTCATCAGGGCTTGTTTTTATAGCAGCAGAGCTGTGACCTTTGGAGACCCTGGGGGAGTGGGAATGGGGCCATTGTTTGGGGTCTGGGCGATGCCAGAGCCGGGTCCTGGCTGGGGCTGCCCCCAGTGACAGCTCATGGGACACAGGGATGTGACAGGAGCAGCTCCCTGGCTGCAGGACAGTCCTGGGCACAGCCAGCTCCTCCCTGGGCACATGGAAACCTTCCCACTCCTTGTCCAGAAGTGGCGCAGCCTCCCAGGGCAGCCTCATCCCGCCGCCTCCAGCAGCCCTGCCGTGATCCCGGGTTTAATTTCCCTAATGAGGCAGCGCTGAGCTGGGGAAGGAACCCCTGCCAAGAGCTGTCAGCTGGGCAGTTGGAATTGCAGGGATGGGAGCTGCTGGCCCTTGGCTGGAGCTGGCTAATAAATGGCATCCTGGTGCCACCAGGGCAGGGGGTGACAGGGGAGACAGGGGGAACAGAGCCAGGGCCAGCAGTGCACTGGGATTTCCTCCCTGCCCCAAGGAACTCTCTGCCTGGCCCAGCTTTGGATTGAGCACCTGGAGTGGGCTGCTGGGAGCACCTGGAATGCTGCGAGCCTGTCCCTTGTCCCAGGCATTGGAGGGGACTGATCCAGGCGAGGACATGGCTGGTGTGGCACCCCCAGCCCTTGACTGGCATGGGGTCAGTGCCCTGGAAAAGGTTTTCTCTCTGGAGCAGCAGCTCTGTCCCTCCTGCTGTGGGGTGGGGACAGTCCCTGCCACCATCACGGGGGATCAGGGGCTGCAGGGCAGATCTGGCACATCCAAGGGTCCCTCCAGCCCTGGTCTGACCCCATGGAGCCCCTGGGACAGGGATAAAGTCTGGAGGAAGTTTCTCTTTTGGGACAAATCCAGGCAGCTGTGGCTTGGCTTGGGGGCTGGGATGGATTGGGAATGGGGGCTGGGATGGATTGGGAATGTGGGCTGTGATGGATGGGGAGGCAGCCCCAGGTCAGGAGGTGGGAGCTCCTGTCCTGAGTGATTTGTGGTTTCCCGGGCTGGCAAACTCTGCCTTCCCTCCCCTCCATCCCAGTCAGACCAGGGGGAGCAGCCCCTCGTTCCTGGAGGAAGCAGGCCTTCATTCCAGGGGGAGCAGCCCCAGGAGCAGCCCCTGGTTCCCGGGGAGGGGGAGCCAGGCATGGCTTGGGGCACGCAAAGCACTAATGATCCAAGGAGCACTAAATCCAAATAAACCCTGACTGCTCCCAAGATTTATGGCATGAGCCTGACCTCAAACTGTCGGGGCTGCAGCTGGGAGGGGGTTACATCAGCACCTTGGGAATGGAGTGGTGAGGGGGCTTCTTCAGGAACAATATCCCAATGTCCCAAATGTCCCCCTGTGCACCAGGAACACCCAGAGATTGTTCCCAAGTCTTTAGGTCTTTATGGAGCTTGGCTGGGGCTGGGCTGCAGGTGGGGTCCCCCCAGGTCTGGTCCTGCCTGTGGGGCTGTTGTGGGGCTTGTGCTGGTCCTGGCTGGGGCTTGTTCAGGTTTAGGGTAAGGTGGATGGATGGATGGATGGATGGATGGATGGATGGATGGATGGAGGGATGGATGGATTATGGATGGAGGGATGGATGGATTATGGATGATGGATGGATGGATGGATGGATGGATGGATGGATGGAGGAGGAATGGATGGATGGGTGGATGGATGGATGGATGGAGGAGGGATGGATGGAGGGATGGATGGATGGATGGATGGATGGATGATGGATGGATAGATGATGGATGGACGGATGGATGGATGGATGGATGGATGGATGGATGGATGGGTGGATGGATGGATGGATGGATGGATGGATGGATGGATGGATGGATGGATGGATGGATGGAGGGATGGATGGATTATGGATGATGGATGGATGGATGGATGGATGGATGGATGGATGGAGGAGGAATGGATGGATGGGTGGATGGATGGATGGATGGAGGAGGGATGGATGGAGGGATGGATGGATGGATGGATGGATGGATGATGGATGGATAGATGATGGATGGACGGATGGATGGATGGATGGATGGATGGATGGATGGATGGATGGATGGATGGATGGATGGATGGATGGATGGATGGATGGATGGATGGGGGATGGATGGATGGAGGGATGGATGGATGGATGGATGATGGAGGGATGGATGGATGGATGGATAGATGATGGATGGACGGATGGATGGATGGATGGATGGGGGATGGATGGATGGAGGGATGGATGGATGGATGGATGATGGAGGGATGGATGGATGGATGGATAGATGATGGATGGACGGATGGATGGATGGATGGATGGGGGATGGATGGATGGATGGATGGATGGATGGATGGAGGAGGGATGGATGGATGGATGGATGGATGGATGCATAGATGCACAGATGGGTGTTAGACAGATGGGAGCTGCTGAGACAAGCTGGGACTTCCGTTCCCATTTCCTGCTCCAAGCCCGGAGCCAGGAGTCTGGAACAACCTCATCTGGTTCCAATTTCAGGAGGAACAAAGGGAATAGGGCCATGTGGCTCCCATCAGGGAGAGGCTTTGCAGGTCACGCAGGGAGAATCCCACCCTCGGGAATGGGGAAGGGCTGGGGAGCACTGGGCTCTCCTCATTTCTTGGGAAGCCTTGATACTTCTGGTGTAAAAACAGAAATCAAAAAGCAAATGAGACTGATTCCCAGTGTTTCTTCCTGCACCCCTCAATCCTTGGCATTTTTCCTTGCCTTCCCATCAGTTTTGGTGACCTATCTCATATTTTTGGGCTGTGCAATTCCCAAGTCCCTGCAAATTTATTCTGCTGGATCACAAATTCCAGTGAGCTGCTGGTGAGTGTGTGTTGGGAGTGCAGGATGGCACATCAGCTGCAGGACAAAGGCTGAATATTCCCAGAGATTTGGGAACCACATGGGGTGTTGGGGACAGGCATATCCAGTGGCTGCTGAGGACAGCTGGAATAGATCCAGCCAGACACAGCTCAGACACTTAAAAGCTCAACTCCCCATGCCCTTCCGGAGCTGATGGATTCTCTCTCCTGGTGGGAGAAGGGATGTGGGGACAAAAAGCGAGTCAGGTCCCAAATTTCTCCGCCTGACTGTTCTAGCTCCAAGCTGCAGCAAAAACAAAGAAATCCCGAGCTGTTTTCGGGAGGTAAAATGCTCCGAGAGAGACAGGGACCCTTCAAGGCCTTGATTTGAAACTGAAGCTCGAACCTGGCTCGTTACATCTTGAAACATCCGATGCGATCTCGCAGATCAAAGCCGCCTTGTTTGCCTTGTAATGAGGTGTCAAAGCGTTTCCTTGCAACGCCGACAGGAGACACTTTGATCTGCAAAACAAGATGTTTAAGAGCGCTGCTAGCGAGGGCTCCCCGTGTTTTCGCAGCTCTGGGAGGCAGGGGAATATTTGAAGTCTGGTGTTGTTTCCTCTGGAGGCTTCCCAAGCTGTGGCAGCTGATGAGGTGTTGCTGTCACACCGGAGCCAGGACTCATAGGGAAATCATCGAGCCTGAACAGCAGCCAGCTGGAGAACCAAGCCAAGCATTTTTCTTGCAGCTTCCAAAAAGAATTGCTGGATTTTCCCCCCAGAAAAGACCATTTTGTCCATGGGAAATGCTGGAGCCGGTGTGAGCTCACTGAGTTTTTTTTCTGGGGTAAACACTGTGATTCTGGGTGGTTCACCTGGAGGCTGTTTGTGCTGCTGATGCCTTGGCCTGGCTTTTCCCATGCCTTGTCCCACGAGGGGTGGCTGGGGTGCCACCTGTGTGGGGCTGAAGCTGCTCACGTGTCCCTCTGGTCACAGGCTCAGCGCTGGCGCAATGAGAACTACGAGCGGCCCGTGGACCTGGAGGGCTCCGGGGACGACGACCCCTTTGGAGAAGATGAGCTGGACGACATCTACTCCGGCTCTGGCTCGGGGTGTGAGTAACTGGGAATGGTCCCTGGATGGCTGGGGGGTTCCTGGGATTCCTGGGAAGGGTCCTTGGCTGGGTGTGGGGTTGGGGAGTTCCTGGGAAGGTCCTTGGCTGACTGTGAGGTTGGAGGGCTGAAGAGGAGATGTGAGGGAGGGAATTGCCCTTTATCCATCACTGGAATTGTCCTCTGAGACAAAAGCAATGGGAGCTGTCCCAAAAGTTGGGCTTCAGCACCTCCATGTCCTGGTTCAGCCTCTGGTCCTACTGGGCAGGACTGGCCCCTCCACAGACCCCAGAGAGGGCTTTCACCACCACACGGGCACAGCCCTTGTTTTCTGCTGAACCTGGGACCATCCGTGCTCTCAGATTTTGGGGGTGGTGCCAGGGAAATGCATCAGCAACAGCTTCACTCTTCCCTCTTGTCCCCATTTCAGATTCTGAGCCGGAGCCGGGGCTGGACACGGCCGTGAGCCTGACCACGGACACGCTGGTGACGCTGCCCACCACGGCGGCCGTGCTGCCTGTCACCGCTGCCCAGCCCGTGGCAACACCCCTGGAGCCGTCCCCCACCCCCCAGGACACCACCCCCGGGCAGGCCACCAGCGCCTTCCTCATCCCCAGGACCACAGAAGCACCGGTGGTGCCCAGCTGGAAAGCCACCACCACCAGCACCACGGCCAGCGAGCCCCCAACAACCACCACAGCCACCACCACCACCACCACAGCCACCACCACTGCAGAGGCCACCACCACCACCACCACCACCACCACCACCACGGCCACCACCACCACCACGGAGGCCACCACGACCACAAGCAGCACCACTGTGGCCATGGCCAAGCCCACAACCATCCGGAGGTTCCTGCCTCCCTTGACCACCAAGGCGGCCACCACCCGGGCCACCACCCTGGAGACCCCCACCACACCCGCCCCTGAAACCAGCACGCCGACAGAGGTGGCCACGTCACGCCTTGTCCCCACCAGCACGGCCAAGCCCAGGGCTCTGCCAAAGCCCAGCACCTCGAGGACTGCAGAGCTCCCCGAGAAAAGCACGGCGTTGCCACCCAGGGCCACCACGCAGCCGCCCACAGAGGCCCCCCAGGTAGGAGGCCAGAGCCCTTCTCACCTGCTCGGGGCTCCTGGGCTCCATGGGAAGCCAAGCGGTGGCCACGGGAGGCCTTTGGTGTCCATCTATCCTTGGCACTTGCTCTGAGGGAGGTGGAGGCGGGCTGGGCTCTTCCAGAGTGAACATCTGGGGAGCTGGAAGGAGGTGGAGGGGGAGTTCAGCCCAGGCAGGGGTGCAGGCTCCTGGGGGCACCCAGGATGTGCCACCCACCACGGTGACCTCCGCACTGCCTTCTCCAGAGCGGCTTCCCCAGGCTGGAGGGCAGCGGTGCCACATCCCACGGGAACACAGCGACTTTCCTCGGGGTTTGGTGTCATGTCCCAGCTCCCAGCCCCCAGCCCTCGCCGGGAGTCCCAAACTCTCCTCAATTACGGCTTGATGGTGCATTTCCAGCCCATCGGGTGTCCTGAGCAGGAATTTCAGCTCCATCTCGCATTCAGAGCCCCTCAGGGGCCCTTTGCAGCCGCTTTGACTGAAAGGTGGAGTGATTTGTCTAAACTACTCTCTCTTTTCCGCCTGCAAATGCGTGCTCGGAGCGCTCGGGGCTCTCGCTGACCTTCAATTAATCCCTGTCACAAACGCGGCCGCTCGTGGGAAGCGCTGAGCCGTGCGCCGGCCCCGGGGCAGCGGGACATGGAGAGGGCTCCCACCCCCGCCCCAGACAGCTCCCGGCTCATCCTGAATCCCGGCTCACCCTGAATCCTGCCTCATCCCGAATCCTGCTTTGTGACCGAGGCAGGCGGGAAGGAGCCGTTTGCCCCAGCAGGGAGGGACCACCACCACGGAGGCCACCACGACCACAAGCAGCACCACTGTGGCCATGGCCAAGCCCACAACCATCCGGAGGTTCCTGCCTCCCTTGACCACCAAGGCGGCCACCACCCGGGCCACCACCCTGGAGACCCCCACCACACCCGCCCCTGAAACCAGCACGCCGACAGAGGTGGCCACGTCACGCCTTGTCCCCACCAGCACGGCCAAGCCCAGGGCTCTGCCAAAGCCCAGCACCTCGAGGACTGCAGAGCTCCCCGAGAAAAGCACGGCGTTGCCACCCAGGGCCACCACGCAGCCGCCCACAGAGGCCCCCCAGGTAGGAGGCCAGAGCCCTTCTCACCTGCTCGGGGCTCCTGGGCTCCATGGGAAGCCAAGCGGTGGCCACGGGAGGCCTTTGGTGTCCATCTATCCTTGGCACTTGCTCTGAGGGAGGTGGAGGCGGGCTGGGCTCTTCCAGAGTGAACATCTGGGGAGCTGGAAGGAGGTGGAGGGGGAGTTCAGCCCAGGCAGGGGTGCAGGCTCCTGGGGGCACCCAGGATGTGCCACCCACCACGGTGACCTCCGCACTGCCTTCTCCAGAGCGGCTTCCCCAGGCTGGAGGGCAGCGGTGCCACATCCCACGGGAACACAGCGACTTTCCTCGGGGTTTGGTGTCATGTCCCAGCTCCCAGCCCCCAGCCCTCGCCGGGAGTCCCAAACTCTCCTCAATTACGGCTTGATGGTGCATTTCCAGCCCATCGGGTGTCCTGAGCAGGAATTTCAGCTCCATCTCGCATTCAGAGCCCCTCAGGGGCCCTTTGCAGCCGCTTTGACTGAAAGGTGGAGTGATTTGTCTAAACTACTCTCTCTTTTCCGCCTGCAAATGCGTGCTCGGAGCGCTCGGGGCTCTCGCTGACCTTCAATTAATCCCTGTCACAAACGCGGCCGCTCGTGGGAAGCGCTGAGCCGTGCGCCGGCCCCGGGGCAGCGGGACATGGAGAGGGCTCCCACCCCCGCCCCAGACAGCTCCCGGCTCATCCTGAATCCCGGCTCACCCTGAATCCTGCCTCATCCCGAATCCTGCTTTGTGACCGAGGCAGGCGGGAAGGAGCCGTTTGCCCCAGCAGGGAGGGATCCCGGGGATGCTCCGGCTCCGAAGACACCGAGGGACATGGGGGAAGGACACATCCCGAGGGGATGTGCAGGAGGCAGCAAATGGATCAGGAAAGGGATGGAGGGGGTGGGATGGATCATATTCCCAGGCAATCCTTGAGGCCGGGATCCCATCCTTGCCAATGGAATTGGGCAGGGACAGCAGGGAGCTGGGCTGGGTGACAGCCCTGTGGCCTGGGTGACAGGGGCATATCCTCCTGCTCCTGCCCTGTGCAGCAAGAAGGGGGGAAAGGAAAGGGAAAGGGACCCCTGGAGCTCATCCAGCAGCATCCAATCCTTTATCTTGCCATGCTGGTGTGGCATGGAGGTTGTGTCACCTGTTAGGAGTGAGTCACCTTCAAGCAGTGACATCCAACCTGCTCTCTGGGGACAGAACCTAGTGCAGGGTCTGGGATGGGATATTGAGGAGAAATCCTTCCCTATAAGGGTGGAGGGTCTGGAATGGGGTCTCTTTAAGAGAACTACAGGGAACAGGTCCTGAGATGGGGATAGAGAATGGCCCGCCTCAGCCATGGTGGCCTCAGCCATTTGGTGACCAAATTGTGGTGTTGTGCTGTCACTGCGGTACAACTTCAGTGATACAGGGAAGGGACACCCCACCCTGTCCTTGGTCTGGTGATGTCCACCCTTTGGTCCTTGTCCCCTGCTCCATCTTGTCCTTTCTCCCAGATGGAGCCAGGGGAGGTGACAACAGCCCCTGAAAAGGAGCCGGAGGTCCCGGCCAGCAGTGGCCCCAGCGGGGACTTCGAGATCCGGGAGGAGGAGGAGACGACTCGTCCTGACCTCGGGAACGAGGTGATGGCTGTGGTGACGCCGCCGGCGGGGCCGGGACCCGGCAGGAACGTGGAGACAGGGCTGATGGACAACACGATAGACTCGGGCAACTCGGCTGCTCAGCTGCCCCAAAAAAACATCCTGGAGAGGAAAGAGGTGTTGATAGGTGAGATGTGGGGCTGGGGATTTGGGGGAGAGGGTTTGGGGGCACAGGGAGCTGGGCTGTCCCAGGAGAGGGGACAGTCCTGGGAAGGGCATTGGGATAACCCACATCCATCTCCTGAAATGGCTCTGTGAGCTCTCACAGGGTCTCCATGCCTTTGCCAGGACAACTCTGCACAATTTCCTTCTACTGAGATGGATTTCCAGGAAAAAAAAAAAGAGATTTTAGTGCAAAATGTTCTGTGGTCATAGCTCAGCACCCAGTGCTGCTCCCAGACTTCCAAAGCACAAACCAGGCTGGAATCCCAAATGAACCCCCCAAAGCAGCAGTGCTTAGCCTGGTGTAACCCACACCCACCTCCCAAAACTGCTCCATGGCTCTGCTGGGGGGTCCCAGGGGTCTCCATATCTTTACCAGGAACATTGTCCACAATTTGTGCTGAGATGGATTCCAGGAAAAAAATGGGATTTTTTTCCTGGAAATCCAAAGATGTGCTGCAGTGAGCCAGCCACTGCTGAGAGGCTGCTCCCAGATTTCCAGAGCACAAAACCAGGCTGGAATCCCAAAGGATCCCCACCCCAAACTCTCTGTGCTGTAAGCCAGGCTGGGGCTGGCAGTGGCACTGAGGGTAGGAGGTGACACTGATGGCCAGGGGTGGAACTTATAGCTGGGGGTGCCACTGACAGCCAGGCGAGCGGGTGGCACTGATGGCGGGGCTGGGGGTGGCACTGATGGCTAGGTGTGACATGGCTGGGAGGGGACACTGATAGCAAGAGGGGTGACACTGATGACCAGAGGGATGGCAGCTGGGGGTGACACTGACAGCTGGGGGTGACACTGAAGGCCATGGGGGTGACACTGAGGACCAGAGGGGTGGCACTGATGGCCATGGGTGGCAATGATGGCCGGGGGTGGCACTTACAGCTGGGAAGGGTCAGCTGGTTACAGCTGATGGCTAGGGATGACCCTGAGAGGCAGTGGTGGCACTGATGGTTAGAGGGGTGGCACTGAAGGGCCAGGGGGTTGCACTGACAGCCATGGGTGGAACTGATGGACAGGGGTGGCACTGACAGCTGTGGGTGGCACTGATGGACTCGGGTGGCACTGACAGTCATGGGTGGCACTGACAGTCGTGTCCCCTGTGCGTTGTTGCAGCGGTCATCGTGGGTGGCGTGGTGGGCGCCCTTTTCGCCGCCTTCCTGGTGATGCTGCTCATCTACCGCATGAAGAAGAAGGACGAGGGCAGCTACACCCTGGAGGAGCCCAAGCAGGCCAACGTCACCTACCAGAAGCCGGACAAGCAGGAGGAGTTCTACGCGTAGACGGAGAGCCCAGAGTGCCTCACGCTTCCTCCCTCCCTCCCTCACCGCTCCAAACCCTCCCCCTCCTCTCCTCCATCCAGTCTCTCTCTCCCCTCCCTCTTCTCTCTCTTTTTTTGGGATCAGACTGTGAATTTTTAAAAGCAAAACCCACAATGGCTGAAGGAGGAAACTCGCCCTTGGCATGGGGGGGCACGGGGTGCCCAGAGCAGTGCCGTGGTCACACTGAGCGTGCCTGGGTCACACTGAGCAGTGCCGAGGTGACACCGAGCAGCACCACGGTCACACCGAGCAGCGCCTGGGTCACACTGAGCACCCCGAGGTCACACCGAGCAGCACCTGGGTCACACCGAGCAGCGCCTGGGTCACACCGAGCAGCGCCTGGGTCACACTGAGCACCCCGAGGTCACACCGAGCAGCACTGCAGTGACACCGAGCAGTGCTGCGGTCACACTGAGCGTGCCCAGGTCACACCGAGCAGCGCCAAGGTCACACTGAGCAGCACTGCAGTGACACCGAGCAGCGCCAAGGTCACACTGAGCAGGCCCAGGTCACACCGAGCAGCGCCAAGGTCACACTGAGCAGTGCCAAGGTGACACCAAGCAGTACCACAGTCACACCGAGCAGCGCCGAGGTGACACCGAGCTCCTCCAAGGTCACACCGAGCACCCCGAGGTGACACTAAGCAGCGCTGCGGTGACACTGAGCAGCACCAATGTCACACTGAGCACTGCCAAGGTGACACCGAGCAGCGCCGAGGTGACACCGAGCTCCTCCAAGGTCACACCGAGCACCCCGAGGTGACACTAAGCAGCGGGTGGCAATGATGGCCGGGGGTGGCACTTACAGCTGGGAAGGGTCAGCTGGTTACAGCTGATGGCTAGGGATGACCCTGAGAGGCAGTGGTGGCACTGATGGTTAGAGGGGTGGCACTGAAGGGCCAGGGGGTTGCACTGACAGCCATGGGTGGAACTGATGGACAGGGGTGGCACTGACAGCTGTGGGTGGCACTGATGGACTCGGGTGGCACTGACAGTCATGGGTGGCACTGACAGTCGTGTCCCCTGTGCGTTGTTGCAGCGGTCATCGTGGGTGGCGTGGTGGGCGCCCTTTTCGCCGCCTTCCTGGTGATGCTGCTCATCTACCGCATGAAGAAGAAGGACGAGGGCAGCTACACCCTGGAGGAGCCCAAGCAGGCCAACGTCACCTACCAGAAGCCGGACAAGCAGGAGGAGTTCTACGCGTAGACGGAGAGCCCAGAGTGCCTCACGCTTCCTCCCTCCCTCCCTCACCGCTCCAAACCCTCCCCCTCCTCTCCTCCATCCAGTCTCTCTCTCCCCTCCCTCTTCTCTCTCTTTTTTTGGGATCAGACTGTGAATTTTTAAAAGCAAAACCCACAATGGCTGAAGGAGGAAACTCGCCCTTGGCATGGGGGGGCACGGGGTGCCCAGAGCAGTGCCGTGGTCACACTGAGCGTGCCTGGGTCACACTGAGCAGTGCCGAGGTGACACCGAGCAGCACCACGGTCACACCGAGCAGCGCCTGGGTCACACTGAGCACCCCGAGGTCACACCGAGCAGCACCTGGGTCACACCGAGCAGCGCCTGGGTCACACCGAGCAGCGCCTGGGTCACACCGAGCAGCGCCTGGGTCACACCGAGCAGCGCCTGGGTCACACCGAGCAGCGCCTGGGTCACACCGAGCAGCGCCTGGGTCACACCGAGCAGCGCCTGGGTCACACCGAGCAGCGCCTGGGTCACACCGAGCAGCGCCTGGGTCACACTGAGCACCCCGAGGTCACACCGAGCAGCACTGCAGTGACACCGAGCAGTGCTGCGGTCACACTGAGCGTGCCCAGGTCACACCGAGCAGCGCCAAGGTCACACTGAGCAGCACTGCAGTGACACCGAGCAGCGCCAAGGTCACACTGAGCAGTGCCAAGGTGACACCAAGCAGTACCACAGTCACACCGAGCACCCCAAGGTGACACCAAGCAGTGCTGCGGTCACACCAAGCGCACTCAGGTCACACCAAGCAGTACCACAGTCACACCGAGCAGCGCCGAGGTGACACCGAGCTCCTCCAAGGTCACACCGAGCACCCCGAGGTGACACTAAGCAGCGCTGCGGTGACACTGAGCAGCACCAATGTCACACTGAGCACTGCCAAGGTGACACCGAGCAGCGCCGAGGTGACACCGAGCTCCTCCAAGGTCACACTGAGCACCCCGAGGTGACACTAAGCAGCACTGTGGTGACACTGAGCAGCACCGATGTCACACTGAGCACTGCCGAGGTGACACTGAGCAGCACCGAGGTGACACCGAGCACCGCTGGCCTTTCTGCTGGCGGGAGGGACGGGACATGGAGCCGATGCCAAGGAGCCGATGCCAGGGCAGCCGTGCCTGGGAATGCCCTGGAGAGCACGGGATGGGCTGCCCACGGCGCCTGGAGCTCAGATGGGCTTTTCCCACCACCACCACCACGAACTCTGGGATTCAGACACCTCCTGCCAGCCCTGGGGCACAGGGGGTTTGCTTTGGATTTATTGCCCTTTTTTTTCCCGTCCATAAAGGAGGGAGATTTCCTTCCCTTTGTCTCATCTTTATTTTTTGGTTTTTCTTTGGAATGGGGTTGGTCACTCTGCAGGAATCCCCTTCTGCTGGAAGAGAGAACGTGACTCTCCAACGCTCCTGGAACCTTGGGAAAAGCACAAGGGGCTGGAATACCTGGGATTTGCTCCTGGAGTGGGGAAAAAAGGAAATAAATACAAATGCTGGGAATGATCCCTTTGGATCAACATTCTGGAGAGCTTGTGGAGCTGCACTGGGGCATCCCAGGCTGCTGCCATCTGGCCACCCCCTGGAATCTCTTGGATCCACATCTGGCTGAGGGGTTTGGCCAGGAAGGGACTTGGCTTGGGCTGGGTTTTCACTGTGACCACTAAAGCTTGGCTTTGCGGGACATTCCTTCAGGAGGAGCTGGGACTGGAGAAGCTGAATCCTGTCCCTGGCTCTTCCAGAGGGGATAACAGAGCTCTGCAAGCGTGGGAGGATTTCCTAAGGGAGGAAATCCAAGCAGGGACCATCCCTGTCCCCTCAGGGTCCAGCAGGGATCCCACTGGCTCCAGAGGTGAGGAAGGGGAGGCAGAACCATGGCTCAGCCCAGGGCTGGTTGGATCATTGGAAAGATCCCAAAATCAATGCAAACTCCCAGGACTGATGGTTTTCCATTGTGTTTTGAATCCCCAGGACTGATGGTTTCCCTTCATTGGTGTTTAAATCCCAGCACAACCTATGGGGCCAGAGAGAACCTGATGCTGACACCCCCAGGTGTCCCATCTGAGGCTGCCCAGGGTGCAGATTAATTAATTCAGATATTTCAATTAAGGTGTTTCAATGAGGTGGCTCTTAATTAGCTGGAGCCCTGCTTGTGGGGTTTAGTTGTCACAATGGTTGTGATCTCGATGGGGTCCCCTGGAGACATTTGATTTGCTCTTGGAACAATTTAAATGGGAAAATCTGTGGGAAAAATTGTTGCTTTGTGAATTAACAGAGCCAGGGACACTTTGGCTCCTGAGGGGTTGGGGGATTTAGGGTTTCATGGCCCTGGTGGGGGTTACACGACAGAAGAGCTTCATTGTGGAAGGGATTTGAGGCCAGAAGAATATTTTGGATATATATAAATACATATCTCCACTGCTGTACACCACAGTAACACAGGTGTGGAAGGAAATGAAATCCCTGGGATTTCTCATTGCTCTGGGATGCTCATGTGGGATTTCATGTGGGAATCATGTGGGATTTCAAGTTGGGAAGTTGGGAGCTTTGGGCTGCTTTTTCCTGGGACACAACCCAAAATGACAACCTGGCTTTACTTCCGGATAGGGAACAGGGCCCCACCATGGATGAGCTCTGAATCCTAATTTTTGAGCTGTCAGCCTCAAAACCCTCATGGTTTAGGTTCTTGGAGCTTGGAGCTTGGAGAAGGCCCTGCTGGATGTTTGGGGTGCTGGTTCTGGGAGTGACCAGTTCCATGTCCATCCCGCAGGGAGGATGAGGATGAGGATGAGGATGAGGATAAGGATGAGGATGAGGATGCTCCAAAGGAGGAAACACACTCAGAAGGAGCCTGGTGCCAACCCAGAGCCACTTTGTGCTGCTCCAGAGGGGGTTTGGACTCCTGATTTGATGATTTGGAGGATTTTGGCCCCGATGGGATCACACAAGGGGGAGTGGCAAAAGTCAAGGTCACCAAGGCCACCCAAAATCCCCATCTTTTGGGAAAACCTGGATTTAATCTTTGGAGCTTGCTTTAAAAAAAAAAAAAATCCCTCCCAGCTTAATCTTTTTAATGCTGCTTTTCAGAGCTGCCTCCTTAATCTTCTTCATTTCATTTTTTCCTCCTATTTAATAGTCTGAAGTTCCATAATACAATTTTTTTACTCACTCAAGCTTAACCTTGTCCCTCTCAGCTGGTGTTAGGTTGTAATCCTGGCACTTAAATCCATCACAGATTCAGGAGTGAGGGAAGCTGGAGGTGGGAGGGTGAGAGGAGCCTGGGCAGGGCTTCTGCAGTAATTAAAATATGAGATGAACACAATAAAAAAAGGTGAAGGCAGCTAAACTGCTAATCAGCAGTGATCAAATAATTCATTGTCTAACTCCTGCTTCCACACTTTTGCTCTCCACCTGAAGAGGGATGTGAGCTCCAGGAGAATTTTTTGGGTTTGGAGCCTACTTTTTGTGCTTGTGCAATGATGTCACCTCAGCTCCATGGGGGCTGTTGGAGTCGATGTTTGAAGGGCAAAAAAAGTCTCGTGCTGGAGGACGTGACCCTGTGCCTCCCTCCAAGGAGCTGGGATGGAGCTGAATATGGGCAGGATTTTCTGGGGAAGTCCATCTCCCCAAAAAATCCTGGATAAAGCCATTTCTCCATGAGCAGAGCCACAGGGATGGATAAAACCTGAGGGATGGTGCCTGGTGCAGGTGGTGTCACTCCTGCTCCAGGGCTTTCCAGGGATTCCTGGTGGGAACACAGATGGGGAAGAGGAGAGGAGGTTCCACACAGGAGCTTCCAGCTTCCCCCAGAGCAGATTTTTGGGAAAATGAACTTGAGTGGAAGTGTCTCCAGCATCTTCCCTTCCCAAAGCCGAGTCTGGCATCATCTCCTCTGCCCAAATTCCCATCCCACATGGTGATCCCAGCCAGGAGCAGCTGGAGCAGTGCCCAGATGTGCTGGTAATTCCAGCTGTGCTCCTCGAGGGATTTTTCCATGGCTTTTCCATTTCTTTTCCGCCTGTTCCTGCGTGTGTGTGATGTGCTGGAGCTGCAGGGAGAGCCTTGGCTCTTCCAGCTGGATAATTTTAGGAGTTTCTGGAATTGCAGGGTGGTGTGGGCTGCTCTGCCGGCTGTGCCAGCCTTGGGCTCTCCCTGCTGGAATTGCAGCAGGAGAATGATGGAGAATATCCAGCAGGAGAACAGCCAGGAATTCCAAGGCCACATCCAAAGGGACGGGAAGAGCAGAGAGCCCAAACCAGGGCTGAAAGGGGAGTTTGGGAAGGGCAGGACATGGAAGGGGCCCAGCAGCAGCAGGACCTGGCTCTGGGTGGGTTTTGCAGGGATGGGAGTTGTCCCTAAGCTCCAAAAATCTCTCTGATCTTGGATCTTTCCATAAAAAGCACCAGGTGCCTGTGTTGGGATGGATTTGTCCCTTAGCTCCAAAAGTCTCTCTGATTTTGGACCTTTCCAGAATGAGCTATGCTGGGGAAATCCAGCTGCAGGGACAGGGATGGCTCGGGCTGGGTTACTGCCAGGATGGGCTGGTTGCCTCAAATTTCCCCTCTCCCTCCCCCATTTCCCTGACAATCCCTGTCTGGGAGTTCGTTTGCTCATCTCCAGCCCCAGCTCCAGCATTCCAAGCTCTCCCTGCTGTGAATCCCCAGCTCAGTTCCTTCCACAGGAACAAACCCACCAGCTGAGAACTGGAATGGATTTTTTAATTCCCTTTTTCTCCCGTAACCACCCTTGTCATGATCTTTTCTGTGCTCCAAGGTTTTCTGCCAGGCTCTGAAGTAACTCTGAGCTTTCACTCCAGAAAGGTTTGGTGGGAATGAGCTCCCTGGGATCCCCGGGAGTGGGGCTGGGGGTGTCTGTGTGTGTATATAATGTGTGTATGTAATTAATGTATATGTAGAGATGTATAGATGGGCACGGGGCTGGCGGGCTCTGCTCCTGAGGGAGAAAAGGAGGAGGAAAAAGAGGAAATGGAGGAGGAAAAAGAGGAAAAGGAGGAGGATTTGCCCTCCAGCACCACATGCTGGGCTCTGCAGCCCTTGGCCCCTGTCCCAAGGAATGTGGGATTCAGCCTCATTCCCTGTCCAAGGGATGCAGGTTTCCCTGCCCAAGGGATGTGGGTTTTCCTGTCCCAAAGAATGTGGGATTCAGCCTTGACCCCTGTCCTAAAGGATTTGGGATTCCCCCTCATTCCCTGTCCCAATGGACTGAGGATTCAGCCTTGGCCCCATTTCCAAGGGATGCAGATTTCCCTGTCCCAAAGGATGTGGGATTCAGCCTCATTCCCTGTCCCAAAGGATGTGAGGCTCCCCCTCTTTCCCTGTCCCAAGGGATGCAGGATTCCCTGTCCCACAGGATGTGGGATTCAGCCTCATTCCCTGTCCTAAAGGATGTGGGGCTCCCCCTCATTCCCTGTCCCAAGGGATGCAGAATTCCACCTTTCCAGTTGCTGCAGCTCCTCCCTCCCCTCTCTGCCCTTCACATCCTCCTGATGCCAGTCCCAGTCCCAGTCCCGGTCCCAGTCCCGATCCCAATCCTAGTGCCAATCCCAGTCCTGATCCCAGTCCTGATCCCACTCCCGATCCTGATCCCAATCCCCATCCCATTCCCAGTTCTGGTCCTGATCCCTATGCCAGTCCCAGTCCCAATCCCAATCCAAGTCTCAATCCCAATCCCAGTCCCAATCCCGAAACCAAATCCCAATCCCAGTCCTGATCCTGATCCCGATCCTGATCCCAGTCCCAGTCCCGATCCCAGTCCTGGTCTGGGTGGGTTGGGATCAGGAGCCTTTTGCCGCTGTAGGGCCGGAGCAGATCCGGGCTGGGATCCCGGGGTGGATCCAAAGCCCCGCGAGCTCCGGAGCCTCCCCAGTCCTTGTGCCGGCAGCTCCCCCTTCTCTTAGAGGAGCCTCCGTCTGCAGATCCCAACCTTTTATTTCTATGTCTATTTTTCCCATTATTATGATTTTTGTGTAAAAAAAACCCTGATTTTTTCACACCCCACACTCCAGCACTTCTCCCAGGACCTCCAGGGCTCCAGGGATTTTTCCTGCAGGAATTTCCCCCGTTGAGGATCCCCCCTGGCCGATGTCACCCCAGCCCAGCTGACAATCAAACCAGACTCCCAAAAAACAGGAATCCATCGCAGTTTGATAGAAAAACTTTTTAAAATCCCCCCCTTCTTTCTCACCACCACATCTCCAGGATAAACCATCACCCATACTCCTCCTGTAAATAAACATTGAACCTTCTTGTATAAATTAAAAGTAAAATAAATTAAAAAAATAAAAAAAATCCATCAATAAACATCTCAAAAATAAAATTAAAAAAAAAAATCTCCCTTTCCAGAAGATTGAAGTAATTCCAACTTCATTTTTTTTTGGAGTTGGTTTCCAATCCCCATAGGAGAACAAAACAAGGATCTGGAACACTGCAAATGTTGGAGCTTTCAATGAATCCGGGAGGGAAAAAAAATGCATGTAAATATTTTTAATAGGAGACATATCTTAAACAGAACTTTTTTTGTATGTACATAACTCTCCTAGAGTTTAGTACTGAAATGGCTTCATAGTGTCTGTTTCAAAAAGGAAAGGAAAAGAAAATGTTTGTTAATTGTTTTTGTTCTTACTCAATGGCCAAAACTTTAAAAATAATGACAAAAAAAAAAAAAAAAGACTCTAAAAATAATCTTTGCCAATGGATCTAGCACTGTAATGGTACTGTCTATTTTTTTTAATTATTTCTGTGCTGTGCCCATTTATAAAATGAGGAAAAGATAAAAAAATAAAGTCATTTAAACATTGTCTGCCCAGGGCCTGGCCTGAGTTCTTGGTGCTGGCTGCTCTGGGTTCTGTCATGCCCTGGGAGCAGAGGGAGAAGGTTCTGCCTGGTCCTGGGCCCATCAGGGTGCGGTTAATGATTGGTTTCCATGGCAACTGCAGTGACGCTGAGGAGCCTGGAACATTCCAGCACAGCCATGGATTATCCCAGCACAGCCTGGACCGTCCCAGCACAGTCCTGGATACTCCCACCAGAGCCCTTGATGATCCCAGTACAGCCCTGGGCCATCCCAGTACAGCCTGGGAATGCTGCCCTGGAGAGGAGAAGGCTCCAGGGAGAGCTCAGAGCCCTTGCAGGGCCTGAAGGGGTTCCAGGAGAGCTGCAGAGGGACTGGGGACAAGGATGGAGGGACAGGACACAGGGAATGGCTCCCACTGCCAGAGGGCAGGGCTGGATGGGATCTTGGCAATTGGGAATTGTTCCCTGGCAGGCTGGGGAGGGGCTGGGCTGGAATTGCCAGAGCAGCTGTGGCTGCCCCTGGATCCCTGGCAGTGCCCAAGGCCAGGCTGGACATTGGGCTGGGAGCACCTGGGACAGTGGGAGGTGTCCCTGCCATGGCAGGGGTGGGATGGGCTTTAAGGTCCCTTTCAACCCAAACCATTCCAGGATTCTGTGATTCCTTGAATCTTTGGGAAAGCCTCCTGACAGAGGTAGGGGACACTCCCCTTCTCTCACAGCCTGGGGATCTCTCCAGGTCTGATCCAAACTCACCTGGCAGGAGGAGCTGCTGGGTGATCCTTGCATCCCACCCCAGAAATCCTCTTGGGCTGCTCTTGGCCTCCCTAAGGATGCCCTGGATGTCTTTATCCAGCTCCTGCCAGGCCAGACTTCCCTGGATCCATCCCTGGAGCAGCAGGCAGGGTTTGGATGTCCCCATGCTGCCCTTGGAGCCATCCTCAGCTCCAATGCCAAAGCCCAGGAGGCTCTCAGAAATATTCTCCCAGCCCCTGTGATGGCCTGAAATCCAGGGAACATCCTTCTCTTTGGGCTTGGGGAATGGGTTTTTATGACCCTGCTTCCCTCAGGAAGTGCTTCACCCCCTAAGGGATTCAGCAGCTCCATATCCCAGCCCTCAGCCTCCAGCAGGGACAAATCCCACCGGCCTGGGAGCAGCTCAGGAACACTCCTGGATGGCCACAGCACCAGAGCCCCAAATCCCTCCCTTTTCAGCCCATTTCCCAGAGTGGTGCAGTTCCATCAGCAATCCCTGTCTGCAGCAGCAGCTCGGCATTCCTGGCAGGAAGGGCCCTAATCCCGGTTTCCAGCCCGTCCCAACCCCACTGAATAATGACCCCACTGTGCTGAGCTCCAGCGTTTGGCAGAACAGAAATGAGCAACTGCCTGCCCGAGGTGTTGGAATTTGGTCTGAAGGCTGGAAACAGCCTCTGATTATATCCCAATCCCCATTTTTTATTTATTTTCCTCCCCAATGGCTCTTACAGGAATTTTCCATTCCTGCAGTGCTGTTGCAGACCCCAGGGTTTACCAAGACAACCCCAAAAGTGGCTTATTTGGAATTTTTTTGCACCCTGTGATTCAGCCTCTATAAATCTTTGTGATGTGAGCACAGCACACAAAAATAACACCAGGACTGGGATTTCACCTGGGAAATGAACGGCCCAAAGGCACCGAGCCCGTGGCGGCTGACAGGGATTTTAGGGAACAGCCACACCTGAGTGGCCAGGTGACCACCCTGGGGACACACAGCTGGGAAGGGTCCTCAGGTGCCAGCCCTGAGCTGTGGAGGGTCCTCAGTGAGTCCCAAATCCTCCCTGAGCTTTTCTGGATACCCTAAATGAAGAGGATTTATCCCTTGCTTTGACCTGCTGCTCCCAAGGCTCATCCCAGAAACTGCTGCTCTGCTCCTGCCTCGCTCCGTGGACATGCTTTCCCATGGACACCTCCTCCTGTCTCCCTGGAAAATCCAAATCCCATTTCAGAACCCTCTGCATTCCTGGACATAAACAACCCCTCCCCATCCTCATTCCCACCTCTTCCCGCTTCTCCCACCCTCTGCGGCTCCACAAATCCTCCTCCCTCAGCCTCCTCCACGTGTTTCTTCCCACCTTTTTTAGCTCCTGGCCCTTTTCCCCGGCTTTCCAAGGACAGGAAGCCCTTTAGGACAAAGAGCGCTGAAATCCCAGCGGGAATGGCCGGATACAGCTCCTTGTCCTGCTCTGGGGGAGCGATGGATATCTGGGCATGGCGACACTCCGAGGATTTTTGGGCCATTGTTCAGGATTGGAGGCAAAGAGCAGAATTTGTGCTCCAGGAATTCCAGCATTTCCTGAGCCCCAGTAGTTATTCCAGCAGCTGAGCCAACATTCCCTGGCATTTACCTGCTCCAGGACAATCAGCAGTGGGAATGCACCTTTGGGAATTGTGTCCCTCCTATTCCCACCTACTTCCTGCCCTCCAATTGTTCTTCCCGAGGCTGAATCCATCCCTGTGCAGGGACAGGACAACTCACCCCGTGTCCCACATCCCCGAGGACAGAGAATTCCCTAAGGGAGTATTTCCCACTATAGAAACACAGTGTTTATCCAGGACTGCTGGAGCCCGGACATTTGGTGCCTGGATTTGCATTCCGTGAGGAATTGTGCCTGCTGACGAATCTGTGTTCGATCTAACGAGGAACAAAGCCAATTAAAAATAATGGGGAGCCTGAGCTGCTGCCTGGAACAAAACAATGATAATTATAATTCTAATAAAGACAAAACCCATCACAGAATTCCCACTTAGATCAAATCCAAACCTTCCAAGCAGATCCTGCCTCCCCCAGTTTTTGTAACCCTCTCCCATCCCCACGGAGTCGCTGGGAATGAGGAATGGGAACAGCTGCTCCTGATAAAGCTCCCACCCCATTTCCTCCCTGGTAATGAATTCCAGAGGGAAAGGTGAGCGCTGCTCCCACCACGGATGGGGGATCCTGGCACTCCCATGGGATTTCTCCCTGTATTCTGCCCACTGAGTCACAGGGAGACTTTAAACCGGAATGGATACTGGGAAGAAATTCTGGTTGGGAGGGTGGGGAGGGGCTGGGCTGGAATTGCCAGAGCAGCTGGGGCTGCCCCTGGATCCCTGGCAGTGTCCAAGGCCAGGCTGGACATTGGGGCTGGGAGCACCTGGGACAGGGGGAGGACTGAGGGGACTTTAGGGTACTTCCCAACCCAAACCATTCCATGATTCCGTGATGCTTAAGCCAGGCTGGGAGAGCTGGGGGTGCTCCCCTGGAGAGGAGAAGGCTCCAGGGAGAGCTCAGAGCCCTTGCAGGGCCTGAAGGGGCTCCAGGAGAGCTGCAGAGGGACTGGGGACAAGGATGGAGGGACAGGACACAGGGAATGGCTCCCACTGCCAGAGGGCAGGGCTGGATGGGATCTTGGCAATTGGGAATTGTTCCCTGGCAGGCTGGGGAGGGGCTGGGCTGGAATTGCCAGAGATCCCTGGAATGGATCCAAGTGTCCCTGGAAGTTTTTGGAGCAGCCTGGGACAGTGGGAGGTGTCCCTGCCATGGCAGGGGTGGGATGGGATGGGCTTTAAGGTCCCTTTCAACCCAAACCATTCCAGGATTCTGTGATTCCTCAAATTTTTGGGAAAGCCTCCTGACAGAGGTAGGGGACACTCCCCTTCTCTCACAGCCTGGGGATCTCTCCAGGTCTGATCCAAACTCACCTGGCAGGAGGAGCTGCTGGGTGATCCTTGCACCCCCAAAATCCTCAGCATTCCCTTTAAACAACACCCATGGAGAAGTCTGGAAGTGCTTGAGACATCTGCTGGACCCCTCAGGATCCAGCTGAATCCCTCCCCTCCCAGAACCCTTAAACAGTGCAGGAGCTCATTTTGGGAATGTGGGATGAGATCTCCGTGTGGAGATGTCCCCTCCAGCTGCCCATCACGGCATTAAACAATCCCTGAGACGTTCCTCACACAGGGCAGGAGGGATTTTTGCCAGGAATGTTGCAGCTTTGCAGCCCAAGGTCGACAAATCAGGGATTTGATCCTTTTGAAACCCCCCGTGGATTCCCACAGAATGCCCTGGAAATGAGCAGGATCCCCCCGCAGGACAGGGAATTTGAGGGGCAGCAGGAGAAGAACTCAGATGCCCCCTTCTGCCCTGTCTGGAGCATCCTGCAGGAATTCCAGCTCGGATTTGAATTTCTGAACCTGTCTGAAATGTGCTTTTTTTCTCCCCTTATTCCCCCACCTGTGTCTCCTGCAAACATTCCCGGCCCTGCTGGCTATTTTTAGATGCCGGGAATTAACACCTTGATTTGCATTTTCCCTTGGTTTGGCCGCAGCTCAAAGAGATTTCAGGGTAATTGGATAATGACAGGGCTCCCAGCAGCCGAGGCGGTGACAAATCGCCACACCTGGGTCACAGGAGGGGCTGCGAGGGACCTGCAGTGCCCCCAGGGAGCAGCTGGAAGAGGGCAACAAGAAAGAAATTTGGGACAAAGAAGGAATTATTTTGAGCAAAATCCTAAAAATCCTGCTGAAACCAGGAGTTTTTGTGAGTTTTAGGCTTTTGGGCTGAGCTGTTTCTTTGGAAAACTGGGGCCCAGACAGGGATTTCTCTCCAATCCCCCTAATCCAATATTTTCCCTCCTGACATCAGCTGGGGATGCAGATGGGGATGGGAACAACTCCTTCTGCTGTTCCCTGAGCTGGAGCTGAGGTTTCCTCTTGGCAGGGCTGGTCTGGAGTCAATTCCTGCTGGGAAGCCCAGGTCCTGTGCCCAGTGGGGCTCAGCTTTCAGGCTGAACCCACTTTTCTGTCCCCCAAGGAACTTCTGGGGCTCTGGCCCAACCCTTGGAATCCAAAACAGGGCAAGAACAGCCAAAATCTGTGAAAAAGCTCAAAAATCAGCTGGTTTTCAGGGATTTCTTTTCTGTGTGTCTTGGAATCACAGAATCCTTCAGCTTGGAAAAGATCAGGGAGTCCAACCTTTAACTCTGCCAAGGCCAG